CCCGCCACCCCCACCCCCCCCCACGTGGGAGCGAGGGGAGGGAGAGGAGCCTCTCGGCCGGCGGCTGGAGAGGGGAGGGAGCCGCGGCGGCCAGGCCTCCTGCGCCCCGAGCGGCACCTGCGTGTCCCTGGCGGGCAGCCCTGGCTGGAGGGGGAGGCCGGCGGCCGCCCAAGCCCGGGGCCGGGAGGACTTACTTGGCTCTTGTGGCGGGGCGCCGGGGGATCTAGGCTGGCCGCGGTGGGCTCCGTCTGCGCCGCCCCTCGACGCGCGCTTCAGCCCGAGCTTGGCCCCGCGCCGCTCCTGGCCGGCCTGCCTGCCGGAGGGGGTCCCAGCGCGGCTGCTGCGGGCGGCTGGGCTGGGCTGGGCTGGGCGCAGACCCCTCTGCCGGGGGAGGGGGCGAGCGCGGTGGGCCGTCGGGCTCCCTGCCCGGAGGATGCGGCGCAGCGCAAGGGCGCGGGCGAGCGAGGGAGCGGCTCCGCCGGGCCCGGTGGGGGCGAGCTGCTGGCACGCGCCGGGAGAGACCCTCCCGTTCAAGCGAGGCTGCCGGCGTGCCGGTGGCTGTGCGTCTGGCACACGACTCGCCTTAAGAACCCTCGGGGCGGCGGGGGGGGGGAGACAGCGAGAAGGGGTCCAGGAGCCCCCGCGAGCCCCACTCCCCTCCGCCGACTCCGCCCGCCGCAAGACCCGTGAGGAGCCCGCCTTGGCTCGCGCCTGGCCAGAGGGGAATCGCCCGGCTGGGCCCGCAAGGGGGGAGGGGGAGAGACCATCGGGGCAGATGCGCGCTCCGGAACGACCGCGCGTCTGCCTCTGAGAGGAGCGGCAGCAGCAAGTCGACACATGTGGCTTTGCCAGCAGGGCGCACACGCCTCATCTGTCGGGGAAATGCGGGGATGTGCTGGATGGACTCCGAGCCTGACCACTGACTGGCCTCTCTCAGAGTCCGGGCTGCCCAAGGGGCCTGCAGCTCCCTGGCGCTTTCCCAGCTGGGTCGCCGCCCTGCGCTGCAGGGGAAGGCCGAGATTCGAGTCCAATCGCACACCTTAAAAAGCCAGATGTTTCCCAGGGCACAGGTTTCGAGAGTCCAAGCTCCCTTCCCTATCTAACCAAGGGACTCTCGGAAACTTCAACCCTGGGAATCTTCGGGGTCTTTTCTGGCTCCATGAGGTCCGTGTAGCAGGAGAGGCTTGGACCCGGGATCTTCGGCATACAAAGCAGGTGCTCTAGCACTGAGCCACGGCGGCCCCTCGGGGACAAGGCTGGGTTTTGTAAGAACCCCTGCCTGTGCTCATAGAGCACCCTTTGACTACCAGGCTGGCTGAGTGACTTCTCTCAGTCAGTGTAGCCTACCTCATAGGGCTGTTGCGAGCTCTTCAGAGAAAGGCTCGGCTCAAAAGGCAGATGTATAGAACTGCCTTATTTGTATTGGTTGAAAGCCATTGGCTGCCATGTAACCGGAAACAGACAAGGAGCAGGTGCTCCAAGGTAGCATAATGGGGGGGGGGGGTTGTTTTTAAAAAAATGCATCTGAAGTCTCTGTGGTAAGGGACAGCAATCAATTGGACAGGTTAAACAAACCTTAGAGGCTATCCAGATAAGGGAGGGGGGGGAGGCATCTACATCATTCAGTGTTGTTAGGTGACTAGCGGCCCAGCTGGAGTTATGAAGCAGAAGGCCCTTTGTGTGAAGTTGTTGGTCTGCAGGTACCAAATTTTCAAAATGTATTTATTACATTTATATTCCACCACTAGACTATAAAGTCCTGAAAGTGGCTTACAGCACTTACACAATTAACTGCTTCTGTCTCCTCCCCATTCCCAATATAGTAGTCCTCATTGCTGAGCCAATGTCTTCGCCTATCCTCCCTGAGAAAGAGCCATTTATAGTTCTGAGAGCTCAGGACAAGCCAGGTGCAGTCCTGGGTCTGGTGCTAGGACAGCAGCAGTGTATGCAATAGTCAGGCATCCTAAGCAGAGCCCATTGAAATCAAGGGGCTTAGAGGGGTTTAACTCTCCTAAAGGACTGTAACACTGTACCCACTTTGGCTGAGGAAGGTGAAACTGCCCAGGTGGCTCAGTGTGGTGATTAAAGTGTCAGGCCAGGATCGGGCAGACCCAGGTTGACTCTGCCATGGAAGCCGGCTGGGTGATTTTGACTACTCACACACCCTCAGCCTAACCTACCTCACAGGGTTGTTGTGTAGATAAAATGGAGGAGAGGGGGATGATATAAGGCACTTTGAGTCCCCACTGGGGAAAAGGGTGGGATATAAACTAAACACATAAACAAAGTTCTTTCTTAAGAAACAGATTCTTGAAGGAAGCTTGCAAATCTTCTTTGATCAGCAATTTGCGAGACCTATCTTTTCTTTCCCCTCATTTGATAATCTTGATAAATAAATAAATAAAATTGTCTTCCCTTCATCCTTCAGCTCTCTTGAAACCGACCCCATCCACATCTTTCTCTTTCTACTTTTTCAAGTAGGAAAAACTAGTTTAAGTGTGTGTGTGTGCGTGTGAGAGAGAGAGAGGTGAATACATTTAGGTGAATACATTGACTAAGAAGTGGAGTGCCTTGATCCCATTCAAAATATTATCATTGTTGTTGTAATATTCAGTTTCTAGACCACCCTCTCCTGTGAAACAGGCTCAGAGGGGTGTACACCAATAAAAACAACATTAAAGTCACAGTTAAAAACAATAAAAATACAATACTTAATCTAATTAGATGGCGCTAAAACTTCCACATTGTGCCACTGCCTCATTGGGGGGCGGGAGGAAAGAAACAAGAGTGCCAGCCAGGTGGAAACCGTTGCTGTCCTCAGCCAAACGCCTTACAAGCCCCGTGGAACTGCATCAAGTCCTGCAGGGCACAGATGTTGTTTGGCACAGAGTTCCGCCAGGCTGGAGCCAGGGCAGAAAAAGCCCTGGCTCTGGCCAAGGACAGCTGGATGTCTCTCAGGCCAGGACCACTGGTAGGTTCTTATCTGCTGAGCATAGTGCTCTTCAGGGGGTGTGCCAGGAGAGGCGGTGTGTGTCACAGACCATCAAGGGCCTTAAAAGTGAACACCAAAACCTTGAACCTGATCTGGTATTCCACCTGGAGCCAGTTAGAATGTGAATCCTTATATCTTAGGTGGGTTTTTAAAAGCAGGGTCTGGTTATTATCATCTAAGGTGGCCAAATTGAACCTCCATGTTCAGAGGTGGTTTATATCTAACTAGAGTTGCTACCGGGCAGATAAAACAGCAGCCGGCTGTTGTTTTTGCGCCTTGCTTGTGAACTTCCTGGAAGCATCAAGTCTGACACTATGTGAATCGGGATGCTGGTCTAGATACCCCTTTAGTCGGACGCAGCGGCACCCTTTGCATATATTATTTTGCTGCAATCCTTACAGCAGCCCTGTAAAGTATGTCAATATTATTATCCCTAAAGGGCAAGAATGGATTACCTAAAGCCATGTAACAAGTTGAAGACCAGTTCAAACGGACAATTTTCTGTTCTGTAATAATGAAGCAGTGCACATATTTGCTTCCTGAAGCAGACAAATTTGAATGATACTTGGGTTCCACATCAGTGTGTCACTTCTGTAGCGCTTCTCAAAGGCATCTGCTTGGGACTTTATGTGGGACACACCCTACACTTGGGTCCACTGTTCATTCCAAAGAGCTCTACCTAAGGGAAGAAATCTCAAGTTCATTTTTGCTGTATATTTATATAGAGGGAGGTGGTCATAGGATGCTATGGGAATCATGAAGAGCTCCTGAACTTCAAAATTTATATACCATTACTCCACTGATTACACAGTACAAAAACAAACAAAAACTGTAGGCCTGTGTTGCCCCGAGGTGCTTGGATCACTCCAGCAAACATAGTTCCTGGTGCTCTTCAGTATTTCTGGTCTTGGACACCCTCTGGACCAGATGCACAGCACACCTAGTGGTCAGGAAAAGTCACTGCAGGATAGGGATGCAGTCACAGTGGCAGGCTGTTGCTCCAATCAGGGAGGAGGCTGCACTAATAAACCAAGTACAGCAGAACCTGACAACAGCAGCCCAGTGAGAAGAGGTCCTAGGAGCCTCTGGGTCTTGGACAACTACCCTACCTTTCTTTATGGACACTAAGCTATTGCTAAAGACCATTGTATTTATTGCAATTTCTATAATGCTTTTTCATAAATTCAGATTAGT